GGTCGTGTGTAAAGACTTAGTTGTTTACTAAGAGGCAGTGTTTTCCCAGAAAAGGATAGAATATGTATATGTCTCGGGGAGACAACAGTAAAAAAAACCTAATTTGTTGTTGTTTCATAGCTATAACACATCTTATTACAAGAAAAATAAACTTAGGATACGATAAAACGAAATTGTTGCAGTAATTAATCTAATTAGCTATACGTAGGCTCTCCTCTATTTTCAGTTAACCCAATCATTCGACTGTGTACGTATATATACATACATATTATTCACGCACACACATACCGTGAAACTGCAGCTGTGTAGCTCGCAGAGACACGCTTCTCGTTTGATTTTTCTCCCAAGCTAAGCTGTTCGTTGTGCACTTGAATTCGGTGCACTAGCTTCTTGTATGCAGCGGTACGTAATTCGCACGAACGAATATGCTAAGTACGTAAATTGATTGGAAATCCGCGTATAATAGAAAACGCGTTGCTCGATGTATTCCCTACAAGACTACAATCGCGCAGTATAAGCGACGTTCGTCGTTCGTCGTGGCACTCGTTCGACTGCTTCGTAAACACCGACTGAGGACGAGTCGTCCTGCCCGATTTCTGCTCGCTGTACGCTAGCAAGTGTTCTGGGAAAAATTCTAGGCCTTAACTTCTTAGAACGCGTGATATTTCTTGCGAGCCAAACATAAGAAACGCGAGCCTAGGTCGCTGTACGTACATCGAGCCAAACATAAGAAACGCGAGCCTGGGTCGCTGTACGTACATCGAGCCAACTATCGCGAGCTGCTCTCGAGAGTATCTCTCGCGAGTGGATACCGCGTCTGAGAGTGACTGTCTGAGAGCATCGCTCAACTCTCTGAGAGTTACGACTCGAATAAACAGTTGCTTTGCAAACACGAAGCAATTTCGTACTCTTGACAGAACTCTCGTGCGAGTAAGAAATTCTGGAAAAAGAATTAGTGGAGAAATGAAATCACCGATTTAATCACTCTCTATAATGTTGTGGAATAAATCGTATCCGTTAAAATGTAGTAAAACTGAGTGTAGCTGCGGAAAAAAAATGGTAGTTAGGCGAGAATGACAAGCTTCACTCTATTGAGTTCGATGCGAAACTTTGAATATGACAAACGGAATAGGAATTTCATCGACTTGAATGAAATGAATTGAATTACATCTGCACCTTAGTATTGCGCAATTAAACTTACGATCGCTAGCGTGTATATGCATATATAATAGAAATTTCCTGGAATTATAAAAAATCGAACTGGTTATTGTCACCGGTTGTCCTTAACTATAGTCCACTACAGCCTGTAGGAAAAGATGTAACTTTACGTATGCGGTTACGAGTACGTTAATACTTTCCACTGTTGTTAATGTGGTTATGTTTGCATAAGTAGTTTAAAGTGTACGCTAAGACTAGGAATAAAGAATGAATGAGATGCTCGGAGTGAGCTCTTAAGTACGTTTTAAGTAGGTACGTAAACCTAAGTTGTTTTTGACTTTAAGATGCTTGTATTCGTAGATAATTTTTAGGAAGCCCTGTCTAGTCTGATAAAAAAATGTACGCGCACACTTGTGTATTTACGCATACAAAAGTGTGTGTGTGTTTGTGGGGAACAGGTGGTACGCGTATATTTTGGCAAAACATTCAATTAACTGTGAACTATGTAAAAAGGTTGGAACTTTAATACGTGTCACGAAGAAAGAAACGTTGAGCTTTCGAACTTGTTGTTGCATTTTTATTGCACCGTGAAAATATTGTGCGATATACATTTATTCAGAACATATTCGTAGATATAACAATTCTACCGACTAGATATAAACTGACTAATAATAACAAAATAATTCATTCACGTTACGTATCATCACAACAAGCTTCTTCTTTATTAATTGCAACAGCAATTAACACATCTTTTTACAACGACGACGACATTGCCCTCTTGAAAATTTTCAAAATACAGGAATACTCGCAACAGAAACGTTAAAGGTGAATTTTTTAAAAACTTCCCTTCAAAAACGCTTTGCCTTTGTTCTTATCGATTATAACGAGTACCGGGATGATTGCAGTTAAGGACATTTGTACCGAATTGATTCGTATCTTCCAAGACAATAAACCGATATTACCGCATTAATAGACGCAGGAATGAACGTACACGGGACCGATATTAATACAAAGTTTAACAAGTTCAGACGAAGTCGGAGTTTCTCTCGTCGAGGCTGCCGGGGCGTTTTTAGTTTCCGCGCGAGATACTTTTCACGGATGATTTATCAAATCATTGAGACGCGTCTTTAGTGTGACAAGTGACGGTCTATAAGCACGAATCAATCGTTTATTGACTCGTTAATTAGAAAGATAAAGGAGCAAGTGTGTTTGACGACAATTGCGAGACCGATTTCTCGCGTAAGGTAATATGAAAAATGGAAATACATATGCTGACCTCGTCGTCACTAGGGCAAGGCTCATTCCATCTGTGCCCGAAGGACTATCGCAATTTCTTACATTATATCTTCAGTCAACGTATTTAATCGTTGCACACCAGTATCAGTGGTGATTCTGTTAGTGAAACAGGATCGTGGAGTTCTTAAATATTAAAAAAAAAGAAAGAGAGAGAAAAAAGAAACTCGCTGT